TCGTGTGGATTACGCGCGAAAATGTGCATTTTCACTGACGTCGCGAAATGTTAAATCTTAAGTAAAATACATATTATTTACAGTAAAATAGAACTGACGGAAAAGAGATGAAAAATAACACATTTATACAAAAGAGCGAATAAATAATAAGGTAGAACGAATCTTTTTCATCTATTTTTCATGATAGTGTTTGTTTTAAACAACATATATTGAACATTTAAAGGGCATTGAAAAAGATGTTGTTTGTTGTCGTAAACTTTATATCACTTTAAAGGTTAAAAGTGACGGAATAGTTCAGCTCTACTCTAATTGTATATCAAATGCTTTTTATTTAAAAAATATTGTAGATACAAGAAAATTCAAGGTACAATAAATTTTAAGTACATATCGATACCTTTAATCGACTGACAATTCAAAATGCCTGATCTTTGAGAAAAAAATCTAAAGATAGATCATTTTATCTTTTAAAAAATATTATAAAATTGATAGAATTATAATGCTTCATCAATTAATGTAGATTTAGAATACTTATTTAAACTATTCATTAATATTATCAGTTAAATATCAATGATATCATTAATTGCCCTCTCTTTGTTTTAATTCTGGAATGTGTAAATGTTTTTTATTACGCAGCTTGTAACTGAATACTGAATGAAAAAAAAATTCAATAATCCTTCAATATGTATTTTAAATCTCAAATATATTTGTGTGTAAGGTTTCATAAAAAATTCCCATCAAAATCTTTCGGAAAAATTCTAATTCCAAGAGTAAGTATATCGCGAGCCAACGAGCAATCGTCTCGATTATGACCGAGAAAGGAAGTTCATCGAGCCGCAAACCGCCACGTGCATCACGGCGGACCACTTCACAGATTGCATCGGCTGAATTGCAGCGGTGCATTTCCGCGGACGCGGAAGAACAGCGACACGAGATATCCTGGAGTGCTGCCAGTTCGTTTCGAGCGGATCGCGTTAATTTTTCCGACGAGTCTAATTAAGTCTCCCTTCCGCATCTCCTTCTCATCCTCTCGTTTCTCGTTTTCTCTTTCCTTCTTGATGCCGCTGGCATTCAACACTTAATACGACGAACGTGGAAGCCACGTAGCAATGCGATTATCGCCGAAACATCTGTAAACTCCTGGTATAACGACGATAATTGAATGCGCTAGCTGTCCCCTTCTCTTCCCTTTCCGTTGGTGCAATGTGCACAAACGCATCCTCGCGTACGTCCCATGCATTACGCATAATTAATCCGACGATGCTATCTTCTCTAACCTTGTATCCGCGCGTTCATTGCGCGAATAGAATCGGCGATGCGCTATTCTCCTTTCATCAATGTTGCCCTTCCTTTTTTTCCTTGCAACGTACCGCAATGTTACGTACGATGTGCATGCGTGTGCCGATACGCAGTACACCGCGATAATCGCGATAAGCTCGATGACAACGCGATTCCCATCTCCGAGGTCGTCGCGGTCGAAGGGAGAAAGATCATTTATTAAAAAGGAAAGAGAAAGAGTAAGAGCAGAAAAGGATATATTCACCCGACACAATCGAGCGAGTAGTAAGGCGACTATATCTTTTTTTTTCTTTAATACTATTCCGCCGCGAATTTTTCAGATCGGTAATCGAACGCTTGGAAGGAATTCTCAACAACGTACTTCGCGGTGCACCTTCGAATGTTCTTGGAAATGCTTTTATCGTTTCCGAGCTATCGCCATGTTCCAATTCTCGTGCTATAGAAAAAAAAAAAACGTTCAAGTGCAGCAAGCTGTGCTTCCCGTTGACACCAAAATTATATACCAAAAAATATATACGATAAAAATAAAAATAGAGCAAGCCGTTTTGTTGGAAAAAAATACTTATTGATTTGCTTGTAAAATGTTGAAGGAGGGAAAATGTTGAAGGACTGCTAATTTTCAAGATATAATATTTTTGTATCTTTATTCTTCAATTTTTAAAATTTCTAAATATTTATATTTTTGTTACGATATTTTTATTGAAACTCTTGCTAGATATTTTAAAATATGAGAACATGTACTAAAAAATATTTCCTTATTGTAAAAAAAATGTTTATTTGTGTAAAAAATATTTTCTTTTATTATGAAAGAAGATAAAAACATAAACTATTTATAACGCAGAATCACATTCAATATTATCCATTATTAATATTTTAATTCAAGAAATAAAAAATTTTTAGTAAATTCAGTTCCCTAAAATTGAAAAAGATCTCGCACTTAGGAAATGGAATCATTGCAAAAAGCGATCTAAAATATAATAATTCATATACTTCTGGGATATCTTATAACAATTTCCCAAAAATTTTCCAATTTCCCAAAATTTATAAGTGAAGACACTTGTAGCACTTCACGTTACTTTATGATCCTTAAACTATAATGACAAAATGTCAGAAGTAATTTTCTACCATTTAATCGCATTATTAACACCTTGACGAACGTAATTATAGCGATGAAATTTATTTAACATTGTTTCTCACATAAAATTTCCGTAAACGAAGAACGCATCCTGTGTCGGTACTTAGAACATAATAAATAATTCAATAATAATTTCCACATCCCGTCGGACTGTGTCAGGACGAGAGAAGTGACGCGCCGCCGTCACTGCCGCCACCACCACCGCCGTCGCCCGGATGAAAACATAAATCTACATATTATTAAAGCAGCGGCGATCAAAGCGATCGAAATAATGCAGATTATCAGAAAACGCCGGTGCTGCAGCAATTTCTGCAGGCACTTAAAATCATTTCGACGCCTCTCGCCGATGAATATTGAACAGCCACGCACCTGCCGGCCGCCTCTCCCCTTTCCAATCACTCGTCTCCCCTTCATCCCCTCCGGCTATCCCCGTCTCTCGTTTCGCAATGATTTCGAGCACGAACTCGTCCATCATTGACGATCCCCCGCGCAAAATGATGCTCGCAATGAACTGTGCGATTGCGAGAGCACAATGAGCAAGGGAGAATCAAAATTATTTGTTGAAAATCACATTATCGCGTCGGCAGAGATACAGTATATACGTGACCGCGACCTCGCGAGTTTCAATTTTACACTCAGGCGCATTTTAATGCACACCGCGCAAAGCCTGGGGCA